AGATAATTGCTTTGTTGTTGCTATCTCAGTCTCTCTCTTCTACACGCCGCCATATCTTGTGCCATGTCAGACCACCAAGACTTCAGAGCAGTCTTCCAATCCTTGATCCCCTTCTCATCTCTCCTCCTCCTGCTAATAATTACACTTTTGGTGTCACTAGTCGCAGCAACGTGCTACCTTGTTTTCTAATTCCGTTGTTTCTATTGCCGCCTGTGTGCTGGATTTTAATTTGGAGGACATGAGAACACAGAGGCCAAGCGGGGCGACAAAATATGGTGTCCGATGGCATTAAGTGTTGTGATAGTAATAGGAAAAAAAACAGCCACAATCAGCCTTAAATACTCAGCCCTTCATACCAACGAGATTGCCGATGGAGGCTGGAGTACGCACTTTATATTCATGAAACAATCAGAGAGGATTTAAGGCTGCCGCACACGCCGTATACCTTGTTATTGGTGCGTGCACGTGACTGTGTAAACCCGGTTAAAAATGCATTATGCAGTGGGTAGTAGCGAATGAGGACATCAAAGTTGCATGTGTCCCGCTATTCCCATGCATTTTTCAGTGCATTTGCTCGCCTATTTCTGTCACAGAGAAGGAAAAAAAAAAAAACTAGGAGAACTAGGAGAGAGGGGAAGTGTTAACCAAATAATGCTATTAATCTGGTATTACTGCGATCTTCTCTTCTCCACGCCAGGCTCATAAGAAACACATTGTTTACCGGATACAGATTAACTGGGTATTCAAATAAAATGTGTAGGACAGTTTATGATTTTCTAACTCAGTTTTTCTGGTGGAATTAATCTAGTTTTAAATAAAAGTTTTACACCGGTTTATACCATTTTTAATAATTCTGAGAAGAATTATAGATTATTCTAATAGAATTGTTGAATTACAGTTAGGAAATTCATTATCTATTTCCCGCTAAATTGCCATAATATACCCATACAATGTGAACTAGGCTGCCAAAAGCCTCTCCGACCACCAAAAAGTGTCTTGCTCTACCAACGTAGTCATTCAAATTTGGTAGTGTTCCCAGAGGTCTCCCAACCCAGTTGTATTTATGTATTTATTTATTTGATTGGGACAACACATATTAATGAACAACCGTATAAAGGTGGACACAAAATGTAAATGTGCCAGATTGTAGCAAAACTGCTAAGGTACTTCACAAATCCGATTCAAAAGATATCAAAAGTGAGTAGACAGAAGTGTGAACGCACCCATATTTAGTTAAGCTATGGTTTGCGTCTCCAATGTAACAAATCACGTCTTCTGTGATTGGCATAAATTACAATCAGGAGGTACAACACTTTAAACATAAAACTGTGTAAAAATGGGACACAATTTTAAAATTCTCTTAATCTTGACTGAAGAAGAAAGGCTAACCTGTCAGACATTTAAACCTGTGAATGTCAAGGGATCCAAAACGTTTGTGCACAAAATTAAAATAAATTTCTAATGTTTGTGTGTTGTTCAACTTAATACATTCACCTTGAAACAATCAAAACCGTAACCCAATTTAAAACTCACTTTGAGGTTCATGCATGTGTTAGTGTCAACTCTCATTTCTCTTTTTTTTTTTTTTCGTCCAGGGATCTTAGTTTATCCATTGCAGTTTTTTCTTATCTTTCCTCTCACATTGAATAGAATAGGACATCCGGGAAGAGAAAGCTGCTGGCATGAGGAAGTGGTTACATAGGTATAGTGAAATCCAACACTATAGAACGAACAAAGCAGTGGGAGCTGGGAGGGGGAGAGGCTAAAGAGGCCATGATTAGCAGCACGGAGGAACAAAAGGAAAGTAAAGGGGTGACCTTGGACGCTAAATAATGTTACGTGGTAATAACTGCGGCTAATAGAGACATAGTACAGTCAGCGCAAGATGGAAGAAGAGGGCGAGAGGGTCAGAGGGAGCTCCAATAAGGATTTGCAACGAGCTAAAGTAGAAATACCGCGCTCAAAGAGACAAAGAGTGCGCACAATATTTGCACAGGACTAAGCATAACTCAAAGTCTAAGTCGAAAGGTGCAAAGAAGGAAGACCCGAGGATGAGATAAAGAGGAAATGCACGGCAGCAGATTTTTATAGTGGAGAGACGAGGGCGTAATGGATGAACGTGGGAAGATAACGAAAGACCTACGCAATGGCAGAATGAGGTCTAATAATTAGTGCTGTCCAACGATTAAAATATTTAATCGCGATTAATCGCATGAATTTCATAGTTAACTCGCGATTAATCGCAAATTAGTCACCCATTTGCGTGCTGTGTGCAATTTCTTTTTTTATTGAAAACAATGTGTAGTGTTATATTACACACTAACATTTGATGCAAAATCATCAATAAATGGATGACAAAATAAATAATTGGTAACAAAAAGCCCCTTCAATGTGTGTGTGTGTGTGTGTGGAGTGTGTGTGTTTATGGGTGTGGGTGTGTGTGTGTATGTGTGGGTATAGACCATAGACTGTATAGAAACATCATGGTGTCATTATGATGATGATAAACAATTTTTTTGTAAATTTGTTCATGTAAATACTCTATAGTGTTTCTCTGTTTACTTTCGGTATATCTATGACTGTATACTGTTTGCTTGTATTGCCTTTTTTTATTAACCCCTCCCCCCCATTGTTTTTAGGTTGAAGGAGTAAGTTAGGAGTTAGTCTGCCACGAAAGCGGTGCACGTCGTTGTGGGTCGGTAAATATAAAACAAAAGCTAGCTGTAGCCAGTGTTATCTTCTCGCACAGCAACAGAAGTGGCATTAGCAAGAGCCCTTTATGCATAATTTATGCTGAAGTGGATGGAGTCCCCGCACTGTCCTTCATTTTGTGCAGTGGATGTGCCAATGCAGCATCTGTTGAGACTGACTTATTGAACTTAACCTTAAATGCATGAATGATAAAAGATAAAACGCTGTTTCCTCATAATTGTGTGCGTTTCAGTGGAGTTGGACTTTTCCTTCACATTTGTAGCACTTTGATTTATCAATAGTCAACTTACTTACACAGTGATATCACTCTGCTAGCAGCAGATTGCTTTAAACTAATCAAAAATAGGCCTAGAGTTGTTTGAGGGTCCTTCCATGCTGATGTGAGGAACCACTATGACATCAACCTCATCACACATTTTGCAATCACAAAATCCACAACAAGATCTATTCCTCTTACAGGCTGAAAGCATAACCCTTCATAATTGATTCACCTTACTACCAAGATGTCATTTCACATCCTAAAACATGAATGAAGTAAAAGTAAAAAGTATAATTTGCATGATGTATTGTCAAAAATGCATAATATTTCTACTTGCTTTATTGAAAACTGAAATCTGCTTTTTCCATTTATTACATAATAGACAGGGGCGACAGTGGGTCAGTTGGTAGAGCATTGGCCTTTGAGCCTGCGGGTTGTGGGTTTGAGCCCACCGCAAGACCTTCTCCACCGACTCCACTGATGTCTGCAGTCGCTGTGTTCTTGGGCAAGACACTAACCCACTTTGCACATAAGGCGCGCAGAAGTAATGTTCGCTGCGTGCCTTGATGTGCATGTGTATTTATCAATCTGAAGGATTCAACTGCAAAATGGGAATTAATCAGATCCTGATCAGCTGCTTTTATTTGCGAGTTCAACTTATCTAATTTTTTTTACCATCCACATAGCATGGCTTGGATTCATGTCGTCTTCTTCCTCTAGTACCTCAACATTTGAAGATAGCAGTGTCATTTAAGATTCCTCTCCTATAGTCCTTTCCACTGCAGAGACTACAGCATTTTAGTAAAGCAGGTTTGATTATAAAAAACAAAGAATATGTTACCAATATTATCACAAGCTTATGGCTGAAGAGGCCTTTTGCTGAGCTGAGTCATGCAGATATGCCATTTTGCGGGGTGGATCTGAAGTGAAGGAGTAGCGACGAATCATGAAGACAATACAGGGTTTTTAAACGCTTTGAAAAGGCAGTGAGTACGATGGAGAAAGCCAATAGAGAGTACAAAAGCATGACAAAATATCCAGCATCAAAACATTCATGCCCACACAAGAGGAGTGGACCGCAGAGGGGAAAGATACTTGAGCTCCCACACATCTCAGGCAAAAGCTGTCATGTCAGAACAATGCTTACAAAGATGTGCGTCATAATGCAATATAATGTAAAGAACATAGGTGAGACATGGACAAACAACTCTGACGAGCATCTCTCATTGTTAAGCTGAAAACGCCAATTGCGCAATAAATGGCACTCAAAAACACTTTATATTATACACTGTTCAGTCGTGGATACACTTCGCTGAGGAAAGAGTTGTTTTTCAAGCAGTTATACTTCATATACTGCATGAAAAATATGTTTACAAAGTTTTCTTTATCAAGGAATCCAGTGCGTAACAGGTCATCTCTCTGACAGGGTTCTCCAGGGGCATGAAATGAGCTTTGTTTTGATCTAATAAGAAAATCTGACCTTTCAGGATCCAAACAACTAATCCATTATCAAAATGATCATTCATTAAAGCCATAGTTGAGCCTAAAAGTAATCCTTCTGCTGTATATTCTATACATCCTGTTTCATGTCATCAAGGTACCACAAGTAAAGATATTTTCCCACAATCAGTTTCAAAAGTTAAGATGGCACAGAAATGGCCTGATGCTAGTTTTTTTTTTCTGAAATTCAAGTCAGATCACGCAGTGGGTCGGCACCAGCCCTGCACTCCAAATGAGCAGACAGGGTTCTCCTTTCATGTTCCCTGGGCGCGGGCTCCATCAATAGCCTCATTTTCTCTGCCTTTCCCTATACTGCAGTATCCACTTCTTCACCATTTCTACCCATCCTTTCTCTTGCATTTCCCCACTGTCTTTTGTTATAGGCACCCATTTCCCTTTCCGTTCATCTGACAAATATATATATATGCATGGGACACTGCAGCTGTCGTTTACTTAAGCTTTAAATCTGAAGATACCTTAAGAATTTTAATTTCGCTGACCACTGCTTTTCTATTCTCTCCCTCTTTAGGATTCTGCCCTCCACCAGTGACCGCTTCCTGCTGAAGAACTTGGTCGCTGGAGTGGATTATAACTTGTGCGTGCTGGCCATTTTTGATGACTCCATTACAACGTTAGCTGCAACAAAGGTCCTGGGCTGCACCAGCTTCTCCACTAAGGATGTTTACCCAGCATGCCGTTCTCTGCAAGCACATTTCCTGGGTGGAACACTGACTATATTGGTTGGTGGAATTGTGGTCGTGACTCTACTTGTCTTTACCGTGGCGCTCATGGTACGACATCGTGTGTGTAATCATACAAACCATATGATATGTCACAATGGCAACACTGAGGCTGGAGGCGGAGCTTGTTGTCAAGGTGGAGGGCTAGGGGCCGGAGATAAGGGAGGGAACAGTGTTGGATGTTACCAGTCCAATGGCCAGGGGGACATGATGATGGTAGTGCTCCCCAATGGGCTGACAGCCAAAAGAGGGGATAAAGAGAAGGACAGTGAGAAGGAGAAGGAGGTGGTGGAATCCGCTTCCTCTGTTCCTCCTAAACTGCCCCCTAAACCACGAGCCAAGCCTAAAGTGAACCTCGAACAGTTTCTGTCCGCTGGTGGTGTGGTCTCCACCACCACAGGAGGAGAGATGGCTCTGGTCGTCCGGCAGAGAAAGCTGGAGAAAGCTTACACCTCAGACAGTGACAGAACTCTGCTGTACTACACTCCCTCCCCTCCGTCCACTCTGCCCCGTCAGTCACGCTGCAGAGAACGCCCCCCACCTCGCCTGGAGCGTGAGCTGACCAACCGAGCCAGTTTTTCTCTGGCAGCTCCCCTCAGAGACGCTGAGCTGTTAGACTGGAGAATGAGCCCCAGAGGCCGGGACAGATGGAACTCATCCCAGGCGTACCAGAGCCCGTTGTCACCCCTCAGCCCAGTGTGTGGCGCCATCAGTAAGCGCCGGCACTCTCTGGACATGGGCTCGTCCGTGGCTTTGGCCAGTGACGCTGCGGCCACTGTGGCCAAGCGTTATGGCGCTGTGGGCTACGCAAAGCGGCTTAGCGTCATCTGGACACGACGGAGCCAGTCTCTGCACGGGATGCTGGTGCAATGCGCCTCAACCACAAGCACAACATCCTCAACAACCAGCGACGAGGCCGACAATGGGAACAGATTTGGGTTCCAGCGCGGATATATTCACGCTTACAACACAACTAATTCCAACTCAAACACTGGGAATACCTCTGTCAAAGGAAACAATGGCAAAGAGTCCAAACGTGAGAAAAGTAAAGACGGGAAGAGTGGAGAGGAGCTGGAGGAGAGTGTGGTCTAGGAAAGGTGATGAGGATGTTGTGCAAAAGCATGTGACAGAAATGCAGCCTGACTGTGGTGTTGGTTTGGGGAGGGTCGAGCACTGGAGTCAGGGGATTAGCAGATAAAGTGGTTACAGATAAACTGAGAGGGGTGGATTCTGAGAGAGGGCGCAATATTGGCTCGAGTCTCGCTTGTGCAGCAGCTTGATTTGCCTGGGGAGTAGTCACCAAAAATGAGAAAGTGCACCTGAAAGCCATTTTTTTTTAATGAGCTTTTCGCTGACCTCAAAAGTGACTGGCAGAAAAATTAGTGTGGGGAAAGTAGTGTTGACAGGAAAAGAAAGGCAAAAAATATTGGAGTGGACTGCTGGTGAAAAGGAATTAAATACTCAAGGCTGGCACCAAGCTTTATGACAGAACTGAAAGTGGCCAGACAAAAGTTGAAGCCTATTGTGACAGGTAAGGATAGATAAATATAATACATAATAAAAATGGGGAAAACACATCCAAGCAAGCTGTAGTACAAGGCGATAGATCTCAGACAGCAAGGTGTTGAGATCAGGGAGAATCTCAGTAAAGCCTAGGCACTAATAGAAGCAGACTTACCATCTCCAGGGGGGCAACCCACACACCACCACAACATTGGATCAAAAAACAACACGTAAACACTACTTTCTGGAAACAATCATAAAAAGGGGCAGTTTTTCATCGTTTGTCAAACCAACAGGCCATCTCCACTCTTTCCTCACAAAAAATAAAATACAATGATTGTGACTTTTATGTGTCCTCATTGCCCGTGGACATAGATTTTGGCAGCCGGTTTGGCCTGAGGATTACGGCGGCATAAATACAGAGTTGCAGCACTGGACATGATCAATCAATAGAAAGCTGGAAGGAGCAAAGACCTTATTAGAAGAGACATTGAGGATTACAATACATGGTCGAAATGGATTACCGGACACTGGAACAGGAGCATTGGTAGTAACAGGTAGAGAGTGATGATGGATGCTCCGTGTGCATGCAATGACAAATCACCACCGGAGGACTGCACAATATTTTAGTGTCTATTGTGAAAAAATGTTGAATTTTTGTTGAAAAAGATGTACAGTTTTCTAGTCATGCTGCTCAAGAACCATAAAATATAAAAAAGTGCATAGGAACATTTTTCACAAATACCTTAAGCAGATTTGCAGCATGATAAGGAAGCAACTTGGATGGAAAAGCGACTTCAGGCTGGAGGATTACAATGTTTGAATGTTACAGAAAGATGACTAAACAAAGCAACAATACTGGAGACTATAACAGGATCAAGACTTTAAAAAGGTGAAAAAATGAAATAACACTTGAAAATACATATATATAGTAATTATATATATATATATACAAAATGATGTTACTTGTCACACCATGTGTTTCTGTTAAACAAGTTTTCTGGGGAATGATGTCAGGATGAATTATAAAAGTGTGATTTTCTGGAGATAAAATAAATATGGTATAATTGGATTATAAAAAAATGTGCTGTTGTAGAACATATTTTTCTGTGAGCACACAAGGTTACACAAAGGCACAAGTTGGAAAGCACAAAGCAGATGCCGAGAAACCATTGTTGGTGAGAGTACTGTGTAAACAATTGATATTTTCTCTTTTGTCACTTTTTTATTTTAGCATTGCCATTCCAGGATACAAGAAAACAACTGGAATCCTATTTTTTTATACAATTGTAAGATAGGTCCAAGGCTCTCTTCTATGGTTTGACATCATTGCCTTACTTTTAAACCTGCCCGACATGTCTGCACATTAGAGCAGGTGCACAGCTACCACTGTTTCTGCTTTCTGTTCTCATTTTCCAAAGTCAATATTGTTCTGACTTGTTATAAATAAAAGAGTACATGTATGGAACAAGACTCTCATTACCAACTAAAGGAACAATAGTGTCAATAGATACTTTAATGATCCAGCAGCAGACACACATCGATCCATACAAACATCAGTATTTACATAATTCTAACTGTTATTAACAATAGTAAAAAGTGAATATGTTTAGCTTAGGCATATTCCTGAGCTAAACGAGCACAAGTGTACTACTAATGCATACTGTATGTGTTTATGACATAGGGCTGTAATGATTAATTGCAACTAATCAATTAATGAAAGCGCTGAGATAGCCAAAGAGATTTGCTAGAATCTTTTAAATTACCTTCAGTGTATTATTATATTATATTATATTTGTTCATGTATTCTTGTACAGCCCAAATTCACAACAGTAGTTATCCCTTAGGACTTTACACAACCGTTGAATTTGCCAACACAGATCTGAGAATAAAACCTTTTGAATACAATAGAAAACCCATTAGTATTGGTATGTTGTCCATGAGCCAATCCCTGCTGGGCTTCATTGAGCTAGGGGATTGGCATTTTCCATTTATAAACTGTCTATGGCACCCCCTGTAAAACTCTTGGTATCCCCTGTTGTGGAACACTACACTAATCGATTATCAAAATAACGTTTTATTACAGCTCTTGTGTAAATACAGTACATCTTACGATTCATTTGTGTCATTTCCATTCAGTTTTACAAACCAAAACAACACGGACCAAGAGGATTCACTAATGAATGCACATTGTCTGTCGGCGAATAGGAATTTGGGTCAGATTTTGAGTAAATGTGCAGAGCGAGAAGATGATTCAGACCTGACGAAGACAACTTGAGCCCAAGGGAAACAGATTGAGTCAAAATAATTTGAAGAGTGTTTGTTTGTATGTGCCAAGAATAAAGTTGTTTACTTGTCAACTAGCCCAGTTGATCAGTAGGTAACGGGGCGTCCAAAACAGAAATGTGCCAATCAGGCGACATAATGACAGCCAGGATTAATTTAGAAACACATTATGAAATCAACTTTGCATTCTAGGTGTGCAATTATTGGCAAGTTGTTATAATGTTCCCAAAGATAATGGTGGAATAATAATATGATCGACACTCTTGCAGAGAAACAAGTGAATTCAAAGCACTTCAGGCTAATTAGATTGTATTTACAAAACAACTCATCTTGCAATTAAAAAAAAAGTAGAATTAATTTTCTAATTCAAATGTGTTTACGAATCAGCCTGGTGATTAGTGGTGAAAAGTCTACAAATGAATACACGAAGTGATAAACATGAAAAAGCAATTAGGTCATGAAAGAGCTCAGGGCAGATGCAAATACATGTAGTTTGAAGTTTAATGGCTCATGTGAAACATAAAAGCAGCAACAAAGGCAGACTGAATGTTGTGCATCAGTAGTTGCAGGTCTATAATGAGAATATTTTCAATATAAACTGGTCTGACAGAAAAACTAACCACGCTAATGAAGTGGGCAAAGGAAGAGGTGAAAGGGTCAATACTGAAAGCAGATGCATCTTCATAGAGGTGTGGGTGGGAGCCAGGTGGCCACAGAAAACAAAACGCACTGGGAAAAGGAGGAGGAGGAAGAGGAGGAGGAGGAGGAGGCCAATTGGGGAGAGTAGGAGAAGATGATGAGGAGGAAGAGGACAAAGAGTGGGAGGGGGTAAAGATGAAGAAGTGGCAGGAGCACGATGAGGGGGAGGAGGTGATTAGGTCTATAATGAAAGCAAAGGCATTGCTTCTTCATACAGGTGTGTGTGGGAGCCAGGTAGCCACAGAAAACACGACTGAACTGGGAGGAGGAGGAGGCTGCCCGTGGTATTCCCAAGAAAAAAGAGGTGGACGTAATCTCACCAGCACGCAACACTAGTCACTGCAGGAGCATGCGAGCTGGCCAGGACCATGGATCTACAATAATAACTGGATAGGGTATTACTAGCTTATAGCTGTTCCTTATGGGCACAGAGGGCGCCCGTGGTACTGGAGACTAAATTCGTGGGCTACCCAGAAAAATGTCCCATAGAACTAAAACAGCTCTACCTCAGCTGACAGACCTACTGCTTTCATAAAGGTCGGATTTTGTTTGCCTTGTCAACCTGAACTTTTTTTCTTCTTAAATACTTGGGTTTTCTTTAAATCCACACTTTACTGCCTCAAACTCTGATTGTTTCCTTCCTGCTCTAACGCCCTCTCTAGCTCTGCTCTGATCAGCAGCTCTGATTGATCAAAGCCGAGCCCCTCTGTGCACGTGCATAAAAGCCACACACTGCTATTTGGCGTAACGCATCATGGGCGCTCGTTTACTGCGTAAAACCCGGGAGGACCAGACAATGCCCAAATATGAGTGAGGTCCGCTTATCTCTCTGTCCCTGTGTATGTCCCATGCGCAACTGAGCACCAGTCATTCATTTGAATAGGGCGTCATCTTGGATCACAGGGGCTTGGCCAGGACCAACCACTGACAAGGATCTCCCCCGGAACAGTTATTTAGAGGCTTTCTTTAACCAGAGTGGGAATAGAATTATATTATGATATTAAATACATACTTTGCACTAAATGGGGATTTTAAAGCAACTTCAGTATTTGTTTTCCTGTGTATCCATGAACATGATAGATCTAGAATTGAAATCAATGCTGTTTCTGTATAAAATATCTACTTGATTTAGCAAATTGAACAGTTAAAACGTGGTTATTAGTTTTTGTTCATAAATACATTTTGTTCAAAAAAAAAAAATGTACATACAGAGAGCAGAATAGTTAAGTAAAGGCTGTAACTATACTTTCCTTAAAGTTAGGTCCAAGGGCCCAGTTCAGGAAAACCCCAAAAGATTGTCTGCAGAATTAGAGAATAAAGTATTTAATGGCAATTATTACACAATTATTGCTTTTTACAACTTAAACTGTGCATGTTTAGTGCAAAAATTAAAAGGAAAACAATAAGATTCTCTTCCAGTGCTCCAGACATTGGCAAACACAATAGTTGTCTATACAAATATTAATTTTATACAATTTACTGTAACCAGAAGTTAATTGTTTTCTATACTCTATTCTAACTAGTTCTTATGATAAATACTATATGATATGTGAAACATCCGAGCACGAAGTCACATTGATGATGAGTGACCATTATACAAGTGA